GGCCACCGTAAAGTGATGACTTGACATCTGATCATTTATTTTTATATACGTATATTAAAGATAAATTAAGAGATCAACGTTGTTTCACATTTCAAGGGGCGGTTGATGCGTTCAGAATGCATTTTTTGGAGATACCTCAATCAGAGTGGCAAATGTGCTTCAACAATTGGTTGGAACGCATGCAAAAGTGTGTTGATATTATAGGAGAATATTAAAAAAAAAAAAGTTATTATTAAAAACTGTTTTAATCCTGAAATATGAAAGACGACAAACATAAGGAAGAAAAATGTCTATGTTACATATACCATTAGCGGTGAGTAGTGATTTAAGAACACTATAGTTAAAATTCACAGCTGGTTTACTTTTGAAAGCCAGCCTCTTAAAACGAATTGCTATTGTTGATCAAATAATACATTATTACAGTACTGGGAGAATAAAAAAGCATCTGAGTTCAAGTAAAAATTAGAAACAAGTTTTGGATCAAAAAAAAAAAAATAAAATTAAATTAAATTAAATTAAAAAAACCAATACATTATATAAGAAATAACTAAGCAATGGTTGATAGAATAAAAAAGCTTCGACCGAAAACAAGATCTCAATAGTGACAGAAACTATTTAGTCAATAACTGTTAGAACTGAACAGCTCTCATCGGAAATAGCTGTATTGCCACTCCGGCAATATGATATCACCCAAAATGAATATAAAAACTACTGATATAAATTCATGTGACACGTTTCTATAACTATTTAGCTAAATAACGTGTTTAAGCAAAATTAAGTTCTACATTGAAAATAAAAAATGTACATTTAGGAGTATACATATGTATGAGTATGTCACATGTGATATTAGCAATCAAATTAAAGTGCTTGAAATTTCCTGAACAGCTGCCATTCGCTGCACTTGCGTCAGTTGTGAAAATTCTTAAAAAAATAGAAATATATTTTCCAATCGCTCACATGCTACTTGCTTCCCCAACTTCACTTAGAGTTACGCGAATAGTGCGCAAGAACACACTAAAGCTATTTGGGTGAGGCAACGAAAATTTGTCCACACACACCAAAATGAATCAAGGAAATAGCGACGACGTCGACGAGGCAACGATTGATTGCTCCCAAGGGTCGACAGCAGCAGTAGGAGCGTACAGCTTGGCAGAAAGGGAAAGCTAAAAACTGCAGTTAGTCGCTGTGCGACGCGTTAATGGTGGTGTCACTTGCAACAACGCAGCGATTAGAGTTTTTACGACAAAAACGCACACATATACTTACTCAATGAGAAGGTAAGTGGTTAGAGGATGCGTTGATGCTTGAACGCTGCAAGCAACAACACCCTTTTGTATATGTGCTGGCGTTGCAAGTGGCAAACGGCAAGAAATCAAGTGTTGCACTTCACACAACGTGAAGCAATCGCAGAAGAAGTGGAGGAAGTGGCAGCAAAAGGAAGTGCTTACGCAGGACACGGATGCTATTTGTCGTTGTTATTATGTATGAGTGTGAGTGTGCTATAAGACTCCCTTGGTAATTGCGCGCATTTAACCCGCTTCCCAACGCTGCTCTGTGCTGTGCGCGCGGTAATCAAACAAGAAATTATTGCAATTTCGCAACCAATTCGACCAATTTTCTTCTTCGACGAGTGCGGTGGTGGGTTTTGGTGGCGCAGATAAGCAAATGATTTCCGCTCTGCATCATGTACAATTTCCTTAACTACATCTTCGAGTAACGTAGTATACTTGTACATGGCTCGACCGGCAACACGGGAAATGCATTTTCCATGGGTGCTGCTGATAAATCGCGGAAATGAGCCCTCAAGCGCCAGCAGCAAGCAGCGTGGGAGTTGCAGCTTGGCAACAGCCTTGAGTGCGCGTGTAATCATTGTTGCAAGCAGCGATTTAAATGTGTTAAAGATTATTACAAGTTATCGCACCACTGCTGAGAAAGCTAAGAAACGCACATCCCGTGCGCGTTAGCGTATTATATCTAATCATAAGTTCAGCTAAGCCGCTTAGTGGCCGGTGCGGTGCGTGCGGCGCGCTGTGGTGCCACTCATAAATGTGGTAAGTCGTTTACTTACCATCAGATTAGCAGCTAAAGTAAAAATATGATTCCACATTATGTTTGTTGTATTTTCGAATTTAGAACCGCATTGGGATTTGCGTTTTGTCATCAACAAAAATGACAAAGGAGTGTGAGAGTTGGCGAAGCCATTAAAATAAATGCGAATTGTTGTGAGTTAATTAACTGCTTTAGAAAAGCATATATATGTATGTATTCGAGTATACAAGTATTTTGATGTGTAAGCAAACCCAATCTTTTTTAAAGACTGAATAGAGTTAGGAAATGACCTTTTGTCTCTCTGCTTCAGATGCGATTTATATTTGAAAATAACAATAAATTGTAAACGTCTTTCAATTTATCTTTGCTTTTGGGTATGTAGTATAAGACCACAAAAGCGCAAATTGGATTGCAGATACTTTACTAAATGAATATCTTCTCACTAAGAGAGTTTATAAGTAATATTAAAGAAATAATTTAATATCTTAATAAGTCCCAAAAAAGTATAAGTGCAAAATATTTGTTGAGATTTTAGAAGAAGATGAAATGTCGGAATTGGGGTTGAAAAAACAACCTTATTCTCCGAATGATAAAGTACGACTATGCGTAGACTTAAACGTATGCACTGTGACAGAAAGCACCCGCAAATTATTACTGAATTCGCCGGGTAAATGATATTTCACAAAAAAAAAAAAAAAAAAAAAAAAAAAAAAAAAAAAAAAAAAAAAAAAAAAAAAAAAAAAAAAAAAAAAAAAAAAAAAAAAAAAAACATTGAAATCGCTGTCTGTTGGTGGGACTATCGTTAATTACTATGCCAAATACGATGTGCCAACCAGTTTGTTTATATCAGCTGCTTAAGACATTACACCTTAGTATACCGTTGTGATTTTTACATGGATAAAACATCAATTCGAGCTGTACAGCTTACTTGAGCAGGGACACTCTTCTATAAGAGTCTACAGCTGCTGGCGTATGCCGATGAAATCGATATCATTACCCTCAACAACCTCATAACTTCAAAGTTCTGGATAATTTCGACTATCTTGGAATCGGTGTTAACACAAACAACAACTTGTTTAAGAAATCTAACGCAGAATATATCTTGTCAAAAGGTTCGGATTTGAGAAATAAAACCCTCTCTTCACGAACAAAAACAAAACTCTATAAGTCACTCATTATTCTCGCAGAGGCTTGGACGGTGACGGTGAGAGAAAAGTTCTGCGAAAGATTTATGGCTCTTTTCGCGTTGGTTACGGCGAATATCGTATTCGGTGGAACGACGAGCTGTGTGAGCTATACGACGGCATGACATAGTTCAGCGAATTAAGAGACAGCGGCTATGATGGCTAGGTCATGTTGTCCGAATAGACGAAAACACTCCAGCTCTGAAAGTATTCGACGCAGTACCCGCCGGGGGAAGCAGAGGAAAAGGAAGAAACGACGAAGAACGCTGTTGTAAACTGGGTTATAACCGCGTACGGGGTGTCTGCGCCAATAAAGAAACAAAAGGATAAATACATGAAACGAAGAAAGTTCACAAGTTCAATTTTGTCAAGAACACAAGCCTAAGAGTAGTAAAATGTGTTCACAGACGTCCAGAAAGGAAGTGAAGAATATGGAATTGAAAATCATCAGGCAAGTTTCTCGTGAGTCCGTTGGAATAGTTTTGGGGGATATTTTGGGTATGAAACGCGTTCTTGCTCGACTCGTCGCGATAATGCTAAATTTAAAAAAAAAAAAACACCGTAAATATGTGTTACTGCTTGATGCCATGTTCATGGAGAGTATTAAGTGACAATGGTTTAGCTGAAGACCATCCCAAAAGGGGCTTATGAAAATTGTTTCGAGGACCGGAAAATGGCATAAGTGTATTACATGTGGTGGGGATTACTTTGAAGGCAGCAAAATAAATGAATAATTAAAAATTTTGTGTTTTATTTACAATTTCCGATTTATTTTTTGTCACAATATATCAGCTGACGTAACAACAAAGCAAATATTGTTACAGGTAGTTAGCACCCAACGGTGAAAGTTTCTAGTGAGTCATCGCGAACAAGACGACGCAAGCGCAAATCAAGTCGCCTGCAATGACCATTTTTCGAACCGTTCTTAAAAAACGTTTTTTTTTTATTGTAAGCTGTTGGGAGCTAAACAGAGCCGCTTGAAGATTTCGAAAGCTAAACGGAGCCAAATGGGTTTTGATGTGAGCATCCATAGTAGCCAGTTTTTCAGGATCAAAAAAAGTATCGAACTACGGGTAGTTGCTGTTAATGTAGTATGTACTCTTAGTCCGTACCAACAGTATCCGTTATATTTTATACTCATTGCTTTAACAGTGTTACTTGTAACTCCTCATTTGATCTAAACAGCGGTATAAGCAAGGGTTGAGCAAAAATGGCTTTTTGTTCACTTGGATACTCTGCTCTTTAACGGTTTTCGAACTCGAAAACAATTTTCTACCCCTTGCTTTAATATCCTCTGATCTCATTGGAATAGTCGACTGATTGCTTCGGCTGACAAAAGGAAGAAAAATATGGAAAGGTATTATAACCTCTACATGCAATTCAATATACCTTAAATATTGACTTCAATTAAAATCGGATTGAGAAAAGAAGAATCAATCAGTTGTGTCATAATTTTGAATATGCCAGGGCGCATCGTGAAATAATTATTCTGAAAACATATGCATCGAAGAAAAAGAACTATCCATTAAAGAAGTCGCAAGACTTAACTCTACATATTACATTTTCGTGAAACATTACATAAAAAGTTATAAGATCTGTGAAGAGATATATGGGGATGTAAGCACTCAAAGTGTACTCTTATTACAAAAAAAAAAAAAAATAAATAAAATGTAAATACGTATGTACTACAATATATTGCAATCTCTTTCGTATACCTTAACTTATCAATTTATATCTCAATACGTTATAACCAAGCCTCATACTCACCTCAATGTATCCTTGTACGCTGTCGCATTGTTGGAGCACCAAAATCGCCGAATTAAACTTCAAAGCCGACAGCTCGTCGGGCGAGCAGGGGCTCAAGAAGCCACTATCTGCATCACTGTGCGAGGACAGAGGTCGCGGCTTACGTATTTTATACGGCACATTACGACTTGGCACTGGACCCGGATTGAATAGCACATAATTCGATTCGATTGGCACGGTACGCGCGCGTAAATGTTCCTTACCATCAAGCAACATATGCTGCAAATGAAGCATATGTTCCGAACTGACGAGCTCCGAGACGGCACGCTGTTCGATGCTTAATACACCGGCACCATCGGAAATAGAGGAGCTGTTCATTTTATTGTCATTGCCCGCGGAACGCTTGCCGCGCTTATCACTTGCGTTGTCTGTGCTGGCGTTAGCAGACGAATGCTTCGACAAGCGAAACGGTGAAAGATTCAAGAAGGTTAAACGCTTTTTTGTGCGTTGTAACGTAGTTTGTGAAGACGTCGCTGAGGTGGATGAGCTCGTTGAGTTGGTTGAGGTGGAAGATTCTACGAGGGCAGTTGATGTAGTTGTGGCGGTGGAGGCGGTGGTATTTGTGTCCTTTGACTCCTGGCTATTCGACATGCTTGGCGCTGCATCGAGAACTTCGAGTAGCTGCTCAAAACTGGCGGACTCACGTAACATGGGCTCGACAGTATTTGGAACGGTCTGCACCGCCAATGCCTCTAAGTTAGCATGTACCAATTGTTCATTAGTGTAAGGATTTGGTATGCCAATGTCGGCTATGGGTTCATCTTCAAAATCATCTGGATCGATGACAAAGTAGTTGTGATGATCAAAATTCGCAGTATTCGCATCACCGCCGCACGCCTCCTCGAACGTCACCTCTACAACGAGTGTGTCTTCCTCGGCCGGCAATTCCTCATTGTAAATCACTTCGGGCACAATTTCTTCTTCACTAAAATTCAGGTTTTGACGCGAACTAAACAACGGATCACGTAGACCATGTACTGGTGATGGCTCGAACATGCCACCTAACTGCTCATGTGTCCGTTGACGCATAGCTTTCTCATTAATAAAATCAACGGGATCGAATAAACAGTAATTGTCCATATGGGACACGTGTGTCTTACGCTGACGCACCGGTAAGTTCTTCAGTTTCTCACTGTAGTCCGCATCGTTATTATTCGAAGCATTCGAGTTCGGTGGGCTGGCATCAGGTGGCGCCGGTGGCGGTGGGGAAACCTCATTCGACGAGGATGTGACATCATCCTGCGTCACGCTACTAGCTGCAAGCGACTTCTGCGAACCGCGACTGAGCGATGCAAATAAACCACGCGCTAAGCAATTCTTCAGCTCAGACACGCGACCTTTGTAGGGACTAGACTGCGCACTTGCACTGCCTCCCGCATGCTCGCTGCCATCATACACACCCAAACGCGCATTCAATTTGCTCAACTCCTTGCGTTCCTTTTTGCTGAGCACAACCTTACCGCGCGAAGGTGTCGCTGGTGCCGACAGGGAGACGCCACCTTCGCCAGAGGTTTGCATTGCGAGGTAGCGCGAATCGCGCGTTGGCATTTGCGAGATCGGTGGCGGGGTCGGTGGTGTTGGCTCACGATAAGGTGGTGGTTGTGGTGAGTGCTGTGCCGAGAGACCGCATTTCGCGAACTGTGAGTTGGTAATGACCGTCGTCGACTCATAGCTCACGGGAAAGTCACAAAAGAGCTCAGTAAATTGCGTCGAGTCAGCGCCTGTATAGCGACCATTGTAGAAGTTTAATTCCATGTAGTTAGCGTCGCGTGTGGCGTTCGGAGCATCGCGAAATTCATGCGAATGCGTAAATGAGTCATTGCAGAGATTTCGATTGATATGCGGTTGCGAAGCGTGTAGTGAGGATGCGCCAGCCGACTTCGGTATTGTGCCGGGCGCGCTGTTATGCGAGTGTAGGGACGCCGTTAAGGGATTATGATCGGCGCTGAAGTCATCAGTGGGCGAAGATGCACTCGTAGCATTATTTGCGTTGCGATCTGCGCCGGCTAAGGACTTGCTGTGTCGCAGCTTGGGCGATTTCTCTTTACCCTGACGTTGTGGCTTCGGCATGTTGCTTTGCAGTTTCGTGGCGGATTTATGTATACGTTGTGGCGGCGTTGTTACCGTTACTTCGTTATGTATCGTTCGACGTCGCAACTTTCTACTCACCTCTGCCACAGACTGTTGGATTTCATTAATTGCATTATTGTTTCGTTTATTATCACAAATATTTACTTGGTTGTCTTCGGTGGTTTTCTGCTCAGTGTTCGCCGCAGCTCTTTTAGACGTCAAAGCATTCAATGAGAGTGGGTTGTTTTCGAAAGCTGCATTTTGTTGTACCTTTGCATGGCCCAAACTTCGTGGCAGTTGGATTGATGCGCTTGCTACAGTGTGTGGACGTCGGTTCCTCCTCTTCACTGTGCCAGTACACGAGCTTGGTGAGTCCCAGTCGTAGATTGATGTTTTTAAACTCACGTCTAGGGTGCTGCCATTTTCGTTGGCGGCTGTGCTATCCGACTTCCCGCTGCCAACAGTATTTCGCCGCACTGTTTGGCAGTTATTGTTATCCTTTACTTCGTGTTGGTCACTCGTCTGCGGCGTGTCACAAACTTTATCTCCAACTCTTCGTGTTTTATTGGCTCTAGCCGTGCTCTGTGTCCTATGCTTGCTGACGAGCGCTGTGACTTCCACTAATACTGTTTCATCATCATCAACACTCTTCACTTTATGCTCAGTCGCTGTACCGTTACTTTGCGTATCGTTTACATGTGGCGTTGGTGCTGATGGAGGTCGTCGGTGTTGGCTAGACATTTTCGTTGCCAGTAATTACAAGCAGATTGGGTCCACTGCAGCTCACTGAGCATCGCATTTAGTGCAAAATAGTTGTGTGTGGAATTTTTCTTGAGGTGTGGGGTGGGGAGATGCTTTTTGGAGAGGGTTAACTGTGCTTGCATGCTTCTGAGTAGCATTCTGTTGTTGTTGTGTGTTGTAGTGTTGCTTGCTGCAGTTTTTTACGCCTATCTGGACCGCCCAGCTTGAGTTTCCATAACTCGTTTCTGTATTATTATTGTTATAACACCACTTTTTTTGTTTTGTGTTGCTTGTGTGTTTGTGCAATTTTAATATGATTTCACAAGCGCAATTCCGTTTCACATTCTTTCAGCTTTCACTCACTGCAAACTTTTTTCAGAAATCTTTCATTTTGACCAAAGCAAATTCTTCACATTTTCACGCTCAACTGGCCAAGCAAACAATCGGTCAGTGCTTTTGCACTGTGCGCTAAGTTACAGTGCTTCTTTCGTTATCATTTCCCTTCGTTATCACTTTTTCAATTTTCACTTTGTTCACTATTTTCTGGCCTTTTGGTTTTTAATTTATCTACGCTTTTTTTTTTTTTTTTTTTTTTTTTTTTTTTTTTTTTATAAAATTTTTTTTTTTGACCTAACTGTGTCGTTAAATAAAATGAAATTAATGGTTTCATAAATCTTCATCCTTATGTGCCTCCGCCCTTAGGTTTCCCGTGCATTTATTTTTCCTTTGCCCTCGAACGGTTGCAGAAAGTGTAAGAGTTAATGGATTTTTATTGCATTTGCTTTGAAACAGCGGAAAAGTAAAAAAAAAAAAAGTATTCAACAGTAAAATCGTATGGAAGATGGAAGTGCCAACGGCTTTTTTGGCAATCGCTGGCAGGCTTTCACCCTTTAGGCAGCTGTAGTAACTGTAAAGTGCTATTGTACTTTTGTCGAAGCTTTTGTTGGCTTTCATGCGTTTTCACATGGTTAATTATTCCACATTTTTTTCGTGAATTTAAAATTATTTGTTTAAATTATTTGTTGATTCAAAACCCAATTCTTTAAACGGCTAAAATGTATTCAAGAAAAATTGTGTTTTAAAGAAAGACCTTCAGTGAAATGAAGCACTGAAAGAGATATTTAATTAATATACATTTTGAATTTCACAAATTCAACATGTTCTCACTAAGAAGCAAGAATTTACAGTCATGAGTTTTGGTATAACCATGGAGAGGAAAATAAACTTTCAAAATCTTCATGGCTGCGAATTTGGAGCTCCTAAAAGAGCTTTTTAGAAATTTCTTTACAGCATTACACAAGTTCCACCAATTCTGTACTTGGCAAGTATGGGCTAGTTCTAAAGAAAATATTGGAAGCGAGGTCCCTGAAGAGGTTTGATGGCGAATGATTATCACAATACCAAATTTGCATACTAATGTGAGTTCAACTTAACTTGATAAATCACGTGGATTTCTCTTGAGATGATTCTGGATCTCATTCTACTCCATGTCGTTGTGGAAGTGAGAGCAAAAAAAATCCATTGGAGCGCTGCTATCATAAGGGAACAGGTTAATCAGGATCAGAAAAAGAGCCGCTCTACCGCTGGCACTCCTTCCTAGGAACGACATTATCAAGAGCATTTACGTAAAAATGGTAGTCAAAGTGTCACTGGGCAGAAAAAGAAAAGGGGGATAGTCTACCATTGAGGAGTACCTTCGTAATAGCATAATAAAATTTTATACAAAAGAATCAAGAATCGCAGATAGAATTGGGGCTGGTATAGTGAACTCACATATCCAACTGTCAGGGCTGAGATCAACACCGTTAGCTGATCTGAGATCTGCACTTTTAGCAATGGTTCGAGAGCACAAAAAAGTGCTTAACACGGTTGCCACTATGAACAATATGCTACTAATATTGATCCTGGGCCATAGAGGAATCCATAAATATGATGAAATAGGACCGGAACCGTTAATCGCTTTCTCGGGAAAGGGCCAGTAGTAAACGCTACTGGTAACAAGTGCCTGGGCTTCGAGAAACAAGGATGTTTCTGGGAGAGAACCACAAAAGAGTTTAGGATACTAAACGCTTTTCCTAGATATAAACTAAAGAGGTTTGTGGGAGTTTATACAGATCACGACAGGTTGCGGATTAGGATACGTTTCCCCGGATCAATGTCGTTTTTGCGACCAAAGAGCAGAGAGATTAGAATACTGGTTTGGAACGCAATCGCAAGAAAAAGGAGTCAGGCAATCGGATAATTAAATCAGCTGAGATAACACATTATAAACATTAACCCAGAAGCTTTACCAAGTAGAAGTTGCATCATATTTTTATCTTACCTAGACACGGGCATTTATTTATTGTCTACCTACATTAAGTCTTTATAGCAACATTAAAACACCAAATGCACCACCAGCCTAAATTCATGCACTACTTTAGAGTCAACTTTAATGATCTAACTCAGTAGAGCTGATGTCTTTAATTTTCTAATTTGTAAACTGAGTCAGTCGTAGAGGCGTGCGTCCACTAGCCGCCGCTTGCTGCCCGCCGAACCAGCTGTACGCATTGTACATATATCAGGGGCTCCTAGAAATGTGTAGTATAGCATTAAGTTGTAAATTTGCTATTTGCCAGCCACTCGTCAACCACGTTGCGCACCAGCCCTCCCCGAAAAGTTAAATTGCCAAGACAACCGAGCAAATTGATTCACGCTGTGTCGTTTTTTTCTTCATTTTTCACGCTAATAAACTTCAACAAGTTGCATAATTGTTGGCGCATGATGAATTTAAATGTCAGTGAAATGAGCTGCAAGGCGAAAAACGAAATGGGTAAAGTAATATGCAATGAAAGAGAGAGCAATGTGTATAGCGAAATGGTCGCTGAGCGGGGAAAGCAGAACTTTTGTCATTACCTTCGAGGCCGTTGTAATTTCGCGTTACTTTTGTAATTAAAATGTAAATTTTTAATTGAATTGCGAACAGCAAGATTGTCGGTTTTCGGAGCGGTGAAGTTTATGTGAAGAATGGCATACAATTAGGCGCAGCAATGACTTATTGTAATTTTATGAGTTAACTACTTAGGAAATTAGGTTAGTGTGTATTACAATTTGATACTAGGATGGTTTCTAATTTGGTATGAGAAAAAAATTAAGTGTAAATAAGAGCTGAAATGGTGATAGGTACACCTTTAGGCGCTTAAGTTGCTAGAAAGTTGTTTTTTTTTTTGTGCTTTTTATAAACCTGAAATTGTTTTAAACAAGAATGAAATAAGTAAGAAGTACTGTACGAAGACATAGATATATGTCGAATACAGTTCCGTAAAACGGAGTATAGTTTTAGGACCGTTATATACTTTTTTCTTTCCAGCTGAAATTAAAAATCATTTCGAGTGGTTTGAAATTCTTAAAATACATTTTATTATATTTTCCATAAGCGTGGTATAGTTTTAGGCGCAGCACAACTATTTTCTGCTAACAATGAAAACTGTGAGCAATTTTGAGTACTAATAATACACATATCATATCAAAATTCTCAAAATATGTTTCACTATGTGCCTGATATACGGATTCAACACTCATTTTGAAAATTAATTTTCTTCAAAAAAATTTCGTTCTTCCCTAATTTATAAAAACTTGAATTAGCTTTATAACTAAAGACTTTAAGTGATAACTGTCTTATCAGAGGAAACTCGTACCAAAAATAATTTAAACGCCTTGAAGTATGCAAAGAAATTGTATGATTTTTTTCTATTTCCAACTTAAACACATTTCTTTTCAGCATTTCCCCATCACAACTTCGCCGTTAACTGAGCAAATGCTACTTTCAACACAAAAACAATGACAACTGCAACCATGAAGTAGTAAATACACTAAATCTATTGCAATACACTACTTCGCTTCAGTGCAATACTTTGTGTCAACTTTCATCGCCAGCTAGCAAGTGAGAGACTGAGAGAACAGTCGAGGGGACAAGTGCTT